ATTAGGATATCTTAACTTTATTTCCTTGTAAACTATACATTTTATGCCTATTTAATGTTAATCGGGTTTGTACACAATGGGAGTATAAAATGAGCAAAAATGCAGAGAAAATTGCGGAGGCCCATTTCCGCACGTGCGGTTTTTACCTCACCGCCAAACAAGGCCCTAACTTTCCCGCACGTGCGGAACCCTCGCCGCACGTGTGGTGACATTTCTCGCAAGTGTGGCCGTACCTCGAAAAATGTGCCCCAATGTTTTAAACCTATTGAAAAGAAGATGAGGAATATAAAGGCAAAAAAAGGCAAGATTAGCGTTCTGATGTTTTTCCAAGGAAAAGAGAGGCTAGGGTTTTGAAGAGAAAGAAACTTGAAGTGTGAATGATGTCTCCCATGGTGGCTTCTTCTCCATCTACCTCTTCTCACTCCTCCATGAGTGGCTAGGCTCCTTTTTCTAGGGTTTTGATGAAACCCTAGCCAAGTAAATAGGGATTTCTTTTTGGTTTTCTCTTGTGTAATGGTTTGAACAATTGTATGGTCCTCAAGAAGTTTCAAATATATATTTTTTAGTATTCTTTTCAAGTATTCTACTTTATGTGATTGTTGAATGTTTTCCACACAATAGTTTTCTCTGTTTTCATATTCAAGGTATGAGACGAGCCATACTACGAGGGACAAATCGTTTTGCTACCGTAGTTTAGAGCGAACAATTCGTATCACTTGAGCTGGTTCGTGCCTATACATTAAACGTGATAATTTTCTTGATCAATGCTTTGAACTTGCAATTGCAAAGTATTATTTCGTTCGAATAGGAACATAATTGACTTTCAAATTGAAACCTTATTTACGTAACTAGTGGTGGATTCATTATCCTAGATTTTCCCCAAAATCAGTTCTTTATCCTTACTTTTAATTTATTGTTTAATCGCTTTGTTTAATTTAGTTCTCATTAGATTATGAACCAATCATCTTTTAATCAAAATTAATTTAGGAATTTAACCATTAAATTGTTCTGATTTCCCGTTTGTCACTATGGATCGATACTTGGACTTACCACTATTCTAAAAAATTTGATATAGTTTAATGTTTATTTTTGGTGTGTGAAACGACCCATCACAAACTACCCACAATTGTCTTATAAAGTGTGTTGTCCACCTTCTTTCCTCTATGATCTTTGTGTAGCTTCAAGCCAAACTCAATTGGAGTACTTACAAGATTACAATTCTTCAGTTGAAACTTGTCCAAAATTTCTCGCACATACTTCTTTTGAGAAATAAAGATTCTAGTGGCAGATTGCACCACTTCAATGCCAAGAAAATAATGCATCATACCAAGATCAGACATTTCAAATTTAACCATCGTAGACCTTTTAAACTTTTCAAATGACACTGTTATTGCCAGTAAATATAAGATCATCTACATATAAGCAGATAATGAGTATTTTCCCTCCATCACCAACTTTAACAAAAAGTGTGTGCTCATTTGGACATTTTTGAAAACCTTCTTTCAAAAAATAAGCCTCGATGCGACTATACCAAGCCCGTGGGGCTTGTTTTAATCCATATAGAGTTTTCTTTAATCTATACACTTTATGCTCATCTCCAATCTTAATATAACTAGAAGGTTGATCAACAAATACATGTTCTTCCAAGTTTCCATCCAAGAATGCTAACTTGACATCCAATTAGAAGATATGCCATGAATTTTGTGCTGCTAGTGCAATTACCAATTCAATTGTATCATGCCTTGCAACAGGGGCAAAAACTTCTTTATAGTCGACTCCAAACTCTTCCTTGTATCCCCCTTAGCCACCAATTGCGCCTTATACTTGTCAACTTCACTATTTTCACTCTGTTTTGTTTTGTATACCCACTTCATGCCAATGGTTTTGTGCCCTTTTAGAAGATCAGATAGTTCCCGAGTATCATTTCTTTCTAAGGTTGCAATTTCATCATTCATCGCCTTCCGCCATTTTGATTCTTGGACAACACATTCAAAAGTTGTAGGGTCACAATATGAAAATAAAGCAAAATGAGTGATTGGATCATCATCAAAGAGTTCATCTCCACTTACGTAGTCAATCATCTAAACTGGTCTTTTCCTTGGACGTTGATTCTTAGGTGGTTGCTCATTTGTTGGTGAAATCGCTGAAGAACTGGGCAAGTGTTCATCAAAGGACTGTTGCTGCATTTCAGTCTTATTCCCTGCATCATCAAAATCAACTGGAATTTGTTGTAGTTCTTTGTCCTTTCCAGTCCAATCCCACATATTTTCTTCATCAAAAACCGCATCTCAGCTGGTAATTACCTTCTTAGTAATTGGATTGAACAATTGTAGGCTTTAGAGTGTTAGCTTACACCAAGGTAGACACTTTTTTCTCCTTTGTCATCAAGCGTCTTCCTTTTCTCATCTAGGACATGTGCTATGCATCCAAAAATTTTGAAGTGATCTACAATTGGTTTGTGCCCACTCCAAGCCTCATCAGGTGCCATGTTTTGAACAGAAAAAGTAGGTCTTCTGTTCAACACATGAATGCTCCAATTTACTGCCTCAGGCTAGAATCTTTTTGGAATATTTCCTCATCCCAGTAATGGTTCTATTTTTCCTCTCCGATACACCATTCTGCTACGATGTATAAGCAGTTGTGAGTTCCTTTCAAATACCATGATCTTTACAATAACCTTCAAATTCTTTTGAGTAGTATTCTCCACCACGATTAGTACGAAGAGTTTTGATGGTCTTTCCTGTTTCATTTTCAACTCCTGTCTTGAAGCTTTTAAATGTACTAAAAGCTTCTGATTTCTCCTACAAAAAAATGAGCCCAAGTTTTTCGAGTATAATCATCAATGAAGATAATAAAATATCTTTTACCCCCATTAGAAGGATGGATTTATCGACCCACAAATATTTGAATGAACCAACTCTAGGTCAGTTTTGGCTCTCCACAACTTTCCTTGAGGGCATGGAGAACGATGTTGTTTGTCAACAACACATTCTTCACAAACTTGAGAAGGAATGGCAATTTGAGGGAGGCTAGTAACCATATCTTGATGTTGAAGAGTCTTTAATATGCCAAAATTTAAGTGGCCATAGTGAAAATGCCAAAACCATGAGGGGTCTTTTACTTTAGCCATTAAACAAGGTTGAGTTGTTATCTTCAAAGGAAACAATTTGTTTGAACTCATTTGAACAATAGCAATTGCTCCTCTTGAAGTATCATAAATCTCATAGGCACCTTTTTTTAATAGTTATCACATAACCTTTTTCTTGTAACTAACCAGCACTTAACAAATTACTTTTCAAGTCAGGTACATAAAAAACATTGAAAATTGTTTCTATGAAACCATTCTTGGTTCTAATATTAATATCACATTTTCCCATTGCTTTCACAGTAGAACAATCATCAAAACTGACAGTGGAATGAAAGCCTTCATTTAAATAAGAGAAAGAAGCCTTACTTCCATACATGTGGTTGCTGCAGCTCGTATCCACATACCAAACATCTGATTCGAGTTTCGCACTGACATGAGAAACCATTAATAGAGTTTCTGCTTCCTTATTTTCAGCAAAATTTGATTTCTCGAACTTCTGTTTATCGTTGGACAGTTTGGTATAGCATTTAGACTAGTAATGACCAAATTTATGGCACATGTAGCACTCGATCTTGGATTTATCAGCCTGTTGATCGCATCCTCTGTAATTTGAGTGCCCTTCATCACCTTTAAAATCTGATTTTGCCAGCTTCCATCTCTATTGCCTTTAACTCCCCATTCTCTATCTCTACCTCTACTTATTCCTCTATAATTTGATAAATGAATAAATGTAGAAGCTTTTAGAGCTTGCTCATCCATAGTTGAACTTCGATTCATCTTTTGTTCGTGGACTAATAAGGAACTCTAGAGTTCATCAAGAGAGAACCCATCTATATCTTTCAATTCTTCAATTGAACAAACCACGTAGTCATTGGGGTCAATAAGTGTAGAATCTTCTCAACATTAGCCACATCTTCCATTTTTTCTCCATGAAATCGTATCTTATTTGATATCCCCATAGTCCTTGCACAATAATTGGTATTTGACTCACCGTCTTTCTTCTATAGAGTCTCAAAATCCCTTATCAATGCTTGAAGCTATGCACGCTTCACTCTTGAGGAGCCTTGATATTTTTTCTTCTTTGAATCCTAAATATCCTTGGAAATTTCTTTGCTAAGAATTATTTCCAGTATAAATTGATCAATGGCCTGAAATAAGTAATTCTTTGCCTTCAAATCTTTTAACTCCAGTCCTTCCAGCTTTGTTTTTTGTGCATCTGTGAGTGGCACGCCACCTGCAAGTGCTGCTACACCAGATTCAATGACTTGCCAGTACTCTTTAGACCTCAAGAAGTTCTCCATCAACATGCTCCAATGGTCATAGTGACCATCGAAGTGAGGGATTGTTGCTTGCACAAAATTAGTCTTTGTAGCCATCGTTTCCAGTAAAACATCAGTGGAGATAAAATAGTTGCTGCTATTTTGGACTGTTTTGGGGACTATTTTGATGACTCACAATTTTGGGAACTCCCTCTTGCTTTCTCACAAACTAAACATGGCTCTGATACCGCTGTTACAAGCAATGAAGATAAAGAAAAGCTGAGACTTAAGGACTTGATTTTATTCATCAAATAGAACTGCCTATATATAGGCTCATACATAACATTAAATGCCATAAAAGTAGGCACTACTCAGCACTAATAGCATGAAACTAGGCACTGCACAACACTACTCAAATGTGCAAAACAAACTCCTATAGACTAGGTAAATAAAAACAACATATAGAACAATACTCCATTATTAACCAAATCCTAAAAACTAGGACAATGAATTCCTACAGACTAGGACAACTTCGACTGACTCAATACAGAGAAAATAAACATGCAACTCTAAATTATTCAACATTTCTAATATCGAATCATAATCGACCAGGTTAAAAACATTGGGCTGAACTCTTTTTGGGGTCAATGTAATAGTTATGAATAATTATGAATTTCAAAGAAAGGATAGAAGAATTAAACCTACTGTGGGCCATATAATACATTTTCAATCGAGTTGTACATTTCCTCATCTTAGGAAGAAAAGAACTAAAATCAAAATACTAACAGCATTGCGATACATTAATACAAAACTTCTAACCCAACTACACGATCTACTTGTCACCAATACATGATAATTAGAGATCCCAAAAGCAAGTAAATCAAGGAAATCACAGCAGACAAAATAGAAACAGAAATTGGAACCCTACCCTTGTCCTTCCTCACCACCATCCCTTCAAGAATAGGGTAGCTCACTGATACAATGAAAAATGACAAACCAACTTGCACAAGCATCTCATTGAAACTTCCATTGATAACCACCATCCTAGTAACTCCTCCAAACAAGGATACTAGGTTTAGAATCACCAAGGCAACCGCTGGAACAATCAACATGTTTGATGCTTGGAAATCAAATTTACCCATTTGGTATCTCTTGAGTTGCTCATCATCAACAGCTTTATTGGTTGGTAAAAAACTAGCTTCTCTCATACCCATTCTCTTTATGAAAGCATCCAAACTTCCATAGAGATGACATGTGACTGACTTTATCATCCACATTCTCTGTTCATTGCGCCATGTTTGGATTGAACCTCCAGTTGAGAAGATCTCTTGGATGTGTTTGGATTGGGATGAGACGAAAATGAATGAAAATACAATGAAATACGAGCTTGAAACCTGCCAAACAAAAGAGATCATATTGGGTAGGTACTAAAGCCCTTCAAGTAGTGGCTAGGAACATTGGTTAAAATTTGTAACAATTTTGCTACAAATTCATAAACCAATCACATAATAAAACACATAATATTTATATGCAAAATTTAGAAAAATTTATTGTTGGGATCCACATCTAAAAGATCTTATTCATCCATATAGATTTTAGTTCTATGATCAATTTATGTATTCTCGGATTTGTTAAATTTGTATTGCCATAATAAATAGGACTCACATTATTGTTTTTATTTTGATTTTAGAGTTAATAACACTTTTTACTCCTATAGTTTAACCCAAATTTCACTTTAGTCCCTATAGTTTCAATTCAAACAAATTAATTCCTATACTTTGAATCTAATCTCTATAATTTTAATTTGAACAAAGTCTAGTTAGACAAAATTAGATCACAAAAAATTAATTGGATTAAAAAATGAGTCCCACATCCATTCTCAAATCTGCTTAAATTTTTGTGGCCCCACGTTCCATTTTCAAATATGCTTACTTTTTTTTTTTTATCTAATTCTGTCCAACTAATTTTTGTTAATAAAATTAAAATAGAAATAATAATGTTAAACAAATAGAAAAATTAATGATCTTGCTTACTATAATCCCAAAAACCGGCTATCATTAGAGGAATAATTGTAAGATTTATAAAAAGAAAATTGAAAAATTTGTTAGCACGTTACTCTATCAGAAATCAAAATTATGTAAAAGAGAAAAGGAATTCATATATATCGTGGGTAACAAACTAACCTCAGGGTACAAGGGAATGCCATTGAGAAGATAGAGCTGAGGAATGGTAGCAAAGCACCACAATGGAATGAAATAGAAAGGAAAGAATGCAAGTTCTGCATAACACATCCTCTCAAGAACAGATATCTTCTTCTTCTTCTGTTTTGGGCCATAAATAAGAGGACAGAACCTTGAGATGGCAACCTCAACCAAACCAGAACTCCATCTGGTGCCCTGAACCAACAGATCACTTAGATTTGTGGTGCTGGAGCCCAAAAAACCCGGCCTTGCCGGATCACAATACACTGAAATCCAACCTTTGCCATGTAAATTGATAAAATCTGTGAAGTAATCTTCCGCTACTGAGAAATACAAGAAACCCACCTGCAAATTGGAGCAAAGAAGAGACTTTAGTTTCATAGTTCAAAAAAAAATCTCGAAAATGAACAACAGCACTACATACTCAGAAAATAGACAAGAAAATTACTCATAATTTACAATCAAAGCCAAGATTCATTTATCAATTAGCCCCACAATAAGAAGGTGAAATCTATATCCTACATTTGATATTCAAGGTTTTTGTGTGTGCTGATTTCTGACCACACTGCCAAACAGGTACTCAGCTGGAGAACACTGGCAGAATAGATTGCGCCCAAACAACCTACCACAGAAAGATAAGACTTCGATGGTGGTTCGTGCACCCGGGGGCACTCCGACGATCAAGTTAGTACTCAATTATCTCTCAAAGATAGCAATCAGTGCTTAACTCACTAGCCAGAATACAAAAAACATACCTTAGACCCACGAGAGTGCCTTACTTTTATAGCTAGCACTAACCTTATCCCTGTAGAAGCCTAGCTTCAATGGACTCTAGCTCAATACTCATCTTGGACTCTCAGCCAGATAGAGATAAACTCCCTAAGAGTCGTATCTTTATCTAGACTGAGGCCCTCCCATATTCTAGGACTCTTGTCCCTTATCCGTTCATCTCGAATTCCGGTATCTCCGCAAATAACCTCGGCCTATTCGAGATAACCTCGGCACCATGACTAAGACACGTGGCACCTCGGCTGGCACTTCGGTTCCACCTTGGCCACGTGTTGTCATTCACAAAAATATGCCCTCACAACTGCCCCCTAGGTTCTATTACCTCGGCACTTTGAGGTGATGGAACCTACATCGTTTGTTCACATAGCACATTGGCTAAGATTTACTCTATCCTTAATTACCGAGGTCATCACACGTCGTCTCCATATGACCAAGACTGCAGTCTGCTTTACCAATGCCTAAAAACCAAGAATTAAGTTTTTCAAGTTCTTTAACCAAGATCGTCCCTCTAGCCGAGGTTCGCGCTCCATTAAATCAAGAACTCCAAGAGTTTTATTTGCGCATCAGATATCACACACGGCTTCTCAACCATTTTTGCCATGCGTCTTTTTCTCATTGTCTTATACCTGACACGTGCCATCAGGTCGCGTCGCTTCTGCGCGCACTGCCTGACAGGCACGTCGTCCGAGGCACATTCATTGTATTTTGCCTCCTTTTCATGTTTTAACAAAAACACTTCCCTCTTCCCGTCTTTTCACTTCATGTTTTTTGATTTCTCTCAAGCTTTCTCTCTCTAAAACTTCTCTCCCAAAAAACCGCCATTGTTTCAAGTTTTTCAAGCTCTGTATCTTGCTTCGATCACCTCCTCCGGCGAAGCATTCTCTGTCCTGCTCCACTTGTTATCGCTATCTGACTCCGGCGAGTTTTATATTGGCGTTTATCCCATTTGGTAAGTCACAACTTCCTCCCTTTTTAGTCTCTGCTTTACTTTAAAATCTACTGCAAGTTTCTATGTTGTTTATTGCCATTGTAAATCTATTTTGTTCTCTCAAATCCTTACTCGTGCTTTGAATTCCATTACTTTGGGTGCCAAATGCGCTTTGTTTGGGATTATAGTCGTTCAATCTGCTTCTAGGTATGCATACACGGTTCATGGCCCCTATGCACACATATACACTGTTCATGTGTGTAGACACCCCATTTTTGACCGTCATCAAGACTTGGACGTCACCGCTTGGAACACTCGGTGATTATCCATGTTTGTGTTCGTTTGGAGTTCCCGGAGGTCTCGGCTCGCGCGCCTTGCCTCAGGATCTCCGAACTCGACTGTTTAGTGTCTGGTTTTGCACCAAACACTTGTGTTTTGCCTTGGAGGAGCAGGGAATGCCTTGTGAGGCATCCCCACACACCACCGGCAGTGGCTAGAGGTCACTGGCTGGTTTTTGATGCTATCGGCACCTTTTGTTGCCGGTCAGCACTGATTGTTGCCGGTCGGCACTGTTTATTGCCGGTCGGCACTAAATTTTGTCAAAATGACATTTTTGGGCAACCGACCACTGTTCATCTACTTTATGTACATATATTGTGCCAGCTATCACTCTGCCTCCCTCCATACACGTGTATGGAGGGATCTCCCTTTAAGCAAGCTTGTTGTATAAGCTTTGCAAGAGGGAGTTCTATAAGAGGACAAGCCTCCTCTTGGCTCTAGGTTAGAAATTTTGAAGGCAAAAACCAGAGCTTCCATAGATAGATACACCCTATCTCTATATCTCCCTCTCTCTCCTCCTTTGTGTGTGTTTCTTGGCCCAAAAGTGTGATTTTACCTTACTTTTGCACCATTACACACACTATTACACCTTGCTCCGAGTTTGAGGGACTTGGGGGGTTGGTTCTTGAGTTTTTGGACTGATTTTGATCAAAAGAAGAGGGCTGGACCATTTGTTCTTCAAAGGATCTTCAAGGGTGAGCACTTTACTTTAGATTCCCCAAACTTGCAATAGTTTTTTACCTATCTTGCTTGCTGATTTAGCTTTTGTGTATAACATAAAAAAGGCTTACATTTTCATGCTTTAGAACTTTCATTAAGGTTGTTTTGTGGTTTGAGTGCAAACTCACCTTATTAGGCCTTGTTTGGCCCCTTTTTGTACCATCTTTGTTAAGCTTTGGTCACTCTTGTGTCTTGGCCTTCTCACCACTGAAATCCAGTGGATTTTCAGTGGTGAAGAAGGGATTTTGAAGTCTTGCATAGGGGAGGGACACCCCTCTCCCTTGGTCCCTCTTTTGTCCTCATTTTTGGCTTAATATGGTAGCATGTATGCTCAGTTGTTTATGACTGCTTTTCAGAGGTTCTTAGGGTGTTTTGGATCATGTTATACCTCTGTCCTATGTTGGGTTTATTGCCCTTTTACATGAATAACATACTTGCTTTGAAATCCCATCATTTGGCTTAAAGAGTGCCATGGTGTAACACATCATTTGAGCATGATTTTGGTTCGGCACTGAGAAGTTTTTAGCATTGTTTTTCCATGCTTAAAGTCTGTTGGTTATCAATTTGGTCATGTTTGACATGTTTGATATGGTTGCTATGCATTTTGGCTTGTGAGCCCTCAAGTGTATGAGTCATAAGTATGCCTTAGTTGGTCTACTTTGATGAGTTGAAGTTGTTTGCCATGTCATTTCAATCCCCAAATCATGCTAGCATGCTTGCATTCATCGTTCCTTTCATGCTTTGAAGATGTGCCCTTTTATGCTTTGAAATGAACATTATGCATGCCTAAGTATTTGAGCCTTCAAGGTTGCCATATCATTGGGTTTTAGGGATGATTTCAGTGTATTCAAACTCCGTTTTTGGTTGCATAGCTCATACCATGTTGGCTTGGGGTAGTGATAGTAAGATGCTCCTTTGTTGTGCCTTAACTTTGGGCCTATTAGTGTGTATGCTTCCATGCTTGATTGTCCATTACTTTGGCATCTTTGGCCACTGTTTTGGGGTGTGGCCGAGGCCTCCCATTTCAGCCTAAATCCACTCTCGTTTATGGCTACATGTGTGAATTGTTGCCTCTAGTTATATGCTTGCATTGTGCCATGTTTGCATCTCATTCTAGGTTGCATTGTATCGCATTTTGCATGCTTAATACATCACCTTTGCATGTTTGGTTTGCATTGCATTTGGCATGTTTTACATTTTAACTTCATGTTGCATCTTTAAGTCAAGCTTGAATACATGCATCCCATTGTTTGGTTTGGGGTGTCAAACCAAACTCGAGGGGCGAGGAGTGTTTGTACTTCAAGTGAAAAAACACGTCTCAACCCTCGGTCGCCAATCCCCTTGACTCTAACATGATAGGGTCTTGGCATTTATATATTCGTTGCATGCATCTTTACATCAAGTGGCAAATTTGATCCCTTGGGCTATCATGCACCATTGACGGCTCGAGGATCGAGGGCCATGCTTCCCTGAGTTTAAAGCATGATAGGAAGCATGACCATGCTTACATATGCCTGAAATCCCATGCCATACTGTCTGTCCTCTGTTTGCTGTCAAAACTGTCTTCTGCAGGAAGTTTCTGCCGACCGGCAGAATTCAGTGCCGACCGGCAATCTTTGAACAGCCGACTGCCGACCGGCAGAATTTAGTGCCGACCGGCACTTTTTGAAATGCCGGTGACCCAATAAACAGCCGATGGAAGTTGTGAACTGCTGGTGGGAATTTCCCTAGCCGGTGGTTCTCTGCAGCATGCAAGGAACCTGTTCTGGGACTTTGGGAATTTTCAGAGAAGCAAGGCAGTATAAACAGAGGTGGCAGTGATGTGGTACGGGTTTTCCAGGCGAGCCGGGTTTCGAGCATGCATCATTCGCACATCCCGAGGCAGAGGCTGCGGTCATCCCCTCCTTTCTTTTGCATTCTTTCTATTAATTAATTAGAAATTCTGTAATAATTTATTTGCTTATCATTTGGACTGTAATATTTATTTGGCCCCTCCGAGTGAGGGCAATGATGTAATAAGTGTGTGTGAGTGTGTGTATGTCTTCCAACCTCACGTCTTGCTTCCCTTTTATTTACCTGCTTATGATGGTAGACTTGGGCATTTTTTTAAATTAGCATACCTTATGCTATGCATGCGTGCATTCATGCATTTGTATTGCATGCATCAGGCTCGGTATATCACGCTAACTGCATTTGTACTTTAATTCACAAATTGAATATGTGGTAGTTGAACGCATTTCACATGCCATGTTTAGGTTAGCCGAGCCTGTCTAGATTGCATTTTTGCATGCGATGCATTATCCAATCTTAACATGAACTAGGACATGCATATTTGCTAACTAGTTTACTGTTTTGGCACGGAGTACGATGTAAGTAGTTATGCTTTAGCATCCCGCATGCGTGTGAGTGTTGCCATGACAGTATGCTTGCCATGCGACTAAATGCTTATGTGATAAATTGTTTGAATGCCTGTGGTCTTTGGTCTTGTTTAGACCTACATTGGACCTATTTTAGGTCCTCCTGGCCCTTTGGGGCTTGCTTCATATAGCTTTGGTTTAAGCCCCTTTGA